ATATATCTTTTAACTCTATATTTTTACCAATTCCCCTAAGAGGATAAGGTTTTGAACCTCTTCAATTAATTGAAACATCTCTCGGCTTCTATAATTCTCTTGGGTTCAAAAACCTCGTCTACATATTTAGGGAACTTCTATGTATCCTACATATAACTAAATTTGACAAGACTGGCAAGTACTTGGACAAATAATAACTGTCACTAATCGTGATGGAGTGGATTTATGCAGAGATGAGATTTAGTGACTAAAAATGAGTGGTGCACTCCATTTGGTATGCGTCTTTGGTCTTTGCATTTTGATTTATTAGCCTAAGCGAAGACTCAGCTCTTTCTCTCTCCCTGGCCTAAGTGAATTATATTATATATTTTATGTGTGGCTCTCCTCATGTCGCCACGAACATCATAAATCACACAAAAGTCCATTTGTATTTCACACTTCTTGGCACGTGACTCTTTCGAGCGGATCTCTCGCTAGAGATCTTTGACTTTTGGGTTTCTCTTCTGAAGTTTAGTTTTTATATTATTTGTTTATTTTCCATGGGTAATAATTGTTGATGGCTTCTTAATGGAGATGTTGACGGTGAGAAGTTGTTATTGAATTTGTAGAGGTGGAAATATATGACAGAGAAATGTGAATTAACGAGCTTCTGCTTAAAAAAGTGAAAATGGAAAGGTGGGAAATTTAATGTTACAAGTTTATCAAGGCTTTGTAGGCTTTGATATTTTAGTAGTTGATTATTATGTATTGATTGTTTATGAAATAAACCTTGAAAAACGTATAGATAAAGTCTTAACTAATATAGCTACTCAATTTGTTTAACACCCATTTCTTGATGCCTTCTTTTTATAATAACTCACCTTTCGCTTAGTCTTTTGCTCCCACTTTCCTTCTAAATTATTGTCGAAGCATTAGAATATAAAAAAAGGCCACCTGTCAATCTTCATAATCGATATTTAAGGGCCATTTCCTGTGTGAACCTGAGACCCATATCAATAGTAGTTATTGCCCACCTACATCGATGACCCCTGGCAGTGTACCGTGTTACCCTTCAACTGAGGGAAAACCTTTGTCTAATCTAGTGAAAAACCGAAATGGTTGAACAAAACGAACAACAAACAGTCATAAGTTGAGGCCATTAACAATTGCGTGTTTTGGCATCGTCATCGTCACAGAAGCGAACCAAAACGAATCGAATTCAAATGGAGAATGGAGAATGGTTTGGTATGGCATCCATCGACGACATCATTTCTCCATCGCATTTGTGTCCCATCGCTGCCGGGGCAATCAAAAGTTTAGCTTATGCCATTAAATTGTATTTTTAGTTGGCTCCGCTTTTGCTCATGCAAATGCAATAAATAAGTAAACAAATTAAATGCGCATAAATAATAGCGGAACAGTGGAAAAGCGGAAAGGTAGAGCAAAGCAAAGAGGTTAACACATCCCAACTATCGTGCTAATGTGCATAAACTTTTGTCTTGCTCTCTTTCTTTTTTTTATTTTATTTTATTTATTTATTTTATTTTTATTTTTTTTTTTTTGCTCAAATACAGTTGGCCAAAGTATCAGACACGTGTGGGCCACAAAAAAAATTGGGAGAAAAGCACCAGAAATATGGTGAACAAGAATGAAAACTCGCTTCGCAAAGACGAAGTTTATATACTCTTTAACTTGATATTTTTATGTGAACATTTTATTGATTCAGCAAAGTTTAAAAAACTCATAACTCATAACTCATAAAAAAATCATTAATTTGCATTCGGAAAGCGTCTTTATGTTAGTTTTTATCAGGTTAATAATCGTTCATACTCAATTTAAAATATTAAAAAGTCAAATTTTTTGAAAATTTTAACCATGTAACTTAATTTTTTGAGCAGACATGTGGCTATATTTATTTAGCTTTAATGCTGATCTAGAATATATATGATTTATAGGGTTTGAAATGACTCCTTCATATTGTTACAAGCTTCTGACTAAAATTAAAATACCCTGAAAGGGTATAACATTAGTAAAATTAGCTAGCGAAAGAGCCAAACAAAACGCAATCCCAGATAACTTAACTAAATCTAAAAAACAAAAAACAAAAAAGAAACGAAAAACCGCGCAGATTTCGCAGCGTGAAATTTTTTGCAAATGACGCAATTTTTTTTGCAAAAAAAACCCAACGAAGAACTAGAAAAAAAGACAACAATAAAAAGCCAAGCTGACGATATAAAATCAGTAAAAAGAACAACAAATTAAATAAAATAAAAAGCCAGCCAGCCAAGTTGTCATTTGCTCATTTTGGCGTGACACACATAAGAATACACACACAGGGAGAGAGAATATAATATAAATTATAATAAAGAATATACAGTAGGAAACCGATATGATAAAGAAAAACTAAAAAAAAGAGTACTAGTTGGTATTAATACATACTTAAAAGAAAAATAATAATCATATCATAAAAATACTAATCAAAAACTTGCTTTTTTAATGATAATGATTTGATAAAAGTTTCTTACTTCAATTTTAGGTATTATAATAACTAAAAAAACGCTAAAATACTTTATATACTCAAGAACTTTCACTGTAAATATATAATAAACTATAAGCCTGTGTGTGTAGCTTACTTATTTAGATATTTGTCCGCTTTTTTTTGCTGTGTGCATAAAATTATTAGAACGATATAATTTCATTATCAGACAAATGGCGAGGCGAGCGAAAGAAGAGAGAAAAGTTCATTGGCACACAGGGCGTATGAGTGTTTTGGCTCAAGTATTTTTTTTTTGCCAACAGACAGACACAGAAACACACACAGTCGCAGATAAACAATTGCTGACTACTAAAAATTGCTGCCTGAATTTATTATTTAATTATGTTTTGCATGCGAGAAGAAGCAGTAGTAGTAGAAGTAGTAGTATCTAGGGAGGCCATGTAGGGCCATGGAAAATTGTACAAATTGTACTCGAGTGAGTGTATACATACATACATATATCTCTTGGATGTGACTTGGACTTACTTAACGAGTTTGGGGAGTCGCAAAGTTTATTTAGATAAGAGAAAGAGCCAGAGTTTATGATTTGTGTTTGCCAGCTCGCTGAGGCGTGACTTTAACAGCTGTGAGAAAAGGGAAACACAACGTGTGGAGTTAAATTTTATCAGCTTATGTCAGCCAGAAAATCTCAAGAATAAAGAAAATCAAGTATACGACAGGTGGATCTTCTCTTGAACTTTCTTTAAGGTAAACTCCTGTCTGAGGTTACTCCTGCTCTTTTATAGGTGAAATATTAATGTAATTCTTATTCAAACCTTTCATAAAATATAGTTATACTTTCTCCTTTATTCTATTTTATTTTATGAATTTAATTCTATAAAATTCAAGAGGTTTAGTAAACATTTTCAGCCCTGACACGAATCAATTAGCAAGCTGTCGTCCTTTTTTTCTGTTTTTCCTCTCTAAATAACCTCCAGGATTCAGTGGCTTTCATAGAAATGGATTTTGCGGCTGGCTAAAAAAGTTTGCCAATCCGCAAAACCTTTTTTCCATTCTTTATTTATACGTAAAACAAAAGAGGAATCCAACAAAAAAATAAATGTTTCGCTTGATTTTTTGGTTAGCATTTTTGGGAATTTGCGTTTGGAACTTTTCCTCCTCACACTCTCGTTGTTGTTGGATGCATATTTTAGCATTTTCCCTCGAATAAAATAATGTTTTTGGCAAATTTTCAAAAATGTATCAATGGCAAAGTTTGCAGCGAGTGTGTGTGTTGAGCTTTTGTTTGTTGCATACAAATTTTATAGATTTTCAACGCCTTCGAGTGCAGCTGCCAAATATCCTGGAGCCTTATATGCAAAGCTCAAGCTCCTGCTTTCTCTCTCTCTGTCTCTCTGTCTCTTTCTGTCTCCCTGGCATACATGTGAGGCATTTTAAGTGAAAAACGCCATCGTCATGGCTGTCGTCGACATGCCAATGTTTCCGTCTCCCTCTCTATGTGCCACCTCTCTCCCTCTCTCTGTCTCTATCGTATCTCACCTCTACGGCTCGCTATCCGCCGCTCCATCTCTATCCCTCAGCTCTATCCCCATCTCTATCCATTGTGTGGGCCAAGAAGCAGCATTCAATAACTTCGAATGGCAGCAGATATTCCAGTTGGAATTTCAATAAAAATACTTGTCCAGTGTCTCTCTCTCTCTTTTCCTCTTTTATACATAGTTGATTGTGGCAGCCAAATCGCTGAATATTATCGACATGCTTTTGCACTAAAAACATTTTAATAATGCATTTAGTTTTGGAACATACAAAGATCGAAATATATTTTCATTGTCGTTTTAAAAGTAAATAAATAAATATATACTTTTTGGGGATTGTATAAAACATAGTTATGGGTTTTGATTAGCGTTTTCCCCCCTTTATTTAATATAAATTTAAAATATTTGTATGTTTATAAAACAATAAAGGAAGCCGAAGTTTCAATGCCCTTGCAGTTTGCAATTGAATTATAGGATCGTATGGGAAATGGATCAAATCTAAGTTTATAATATTTCCATTCTTGGAATCGGTATTTATGTATATCATAGGAACATTTTTCGACAAATCAGCATTAAAAAATTTAAACTATCTAGATATATTCTGACCAAGAATATATACGATTTATAGGGTCGGAAATGACTACTGTAGTGAGTTACAAGCTTCTGACTAAAATTATAATATTAAAATTAGAAATTAAAAAGGACGAAAGGCAGAAGAAAATGTTGACAAATGAAAACAAATGTTGCTAAGGAACATGCTGCGAAAGATCAAAATAAAGCCAAATGTGGCTAGGAGCATGTTTAGCAACACCAATTCGATGAAAGGAATATAAATGTTGCAGAACTTCCTTCGGACGGAGCGATGGTTAATAGGATGAAGGAGTTGCTCTCCAATAAAAATTAATATCAATTAAAATTGTATGATTTTTGTAAAATATATTTATATTCCATACTAATACTGTACTCTCCTACCTTTTTGATTATTGCAGTACGGCCAGCGAGTGCCGACGGCAGCCTCACCGAGCAACACCAACTCGAGCAGCTCCTCGAACACAGGCTCCCAGAGCGGAACGCTGAGCACCAGCCTGAGCAACACGACGAATACCAACACGAACATGGGTCCCAACGGCACGGCACAGAATCAAAACCAGCAGGGCGGCGAGCAGTTGTCCAAGACAAATCTCTACATACGCGGACTGCAGCAGGGCACAACCGACAAGGATCTAGTTAATATGTGTGCACAGTGAGTACCAGAAAGGACACCATTCCATTCCAAAAAAAAAATATATATATGTATATAGAAAATCATACATGAATCAGATATGAATGCAATCAAGTCTCTCTCTCTCAATATGATTTCTGTGTCCGTTGGTGCGTTCTGTGCCCTGCGGTTTTCCATCTTGTCTCTGCGGCGATCCACCTATCACATTAAATTGCATTATGGGTTGCCAAGGCACGGGCTCCCTGGGCAGGAGACCATTATGCAAATTCACTTTAATTGTTTTTGCAGCTTCAGGGCACTCATCTACAGCAAGTAGATATGTATTTCTATATGTATATCAATTTGTACATCAATTTGTATGTCAATTTATGTACTGCCTTTGATGAACCGAAGCAGATGCTGGATGCCTTTGAGCAAGAAGCATGACTACCTTGATTTTAATTGAACATTAATAGGAGGCAGTGTGGGAAAATTTAGGAGACATAGGCAGTGGAAAATACTAAAGGAAAATTGTACATTAACTAAGAAAATGTTAGGTGGAAAAGTGGTATTATAAATGTATTTATTTGATATTTCAAGTGGCCAACTAAGTAACTTGAATCGATATTAACCAGGTCATCTTTCAGTTTTCAGTTATTATTGAACATTAAACACCCTATTTATATGGGCCCTTCTGTATTCTTTAGATAACGTATACATTTCGTAAATAAACGTGTAATGAAATACACTATCCTTATCTTAATGTAACAAAACACTGACGTAATGGAATACATTTTAATACACCAAGTATAATGAATGATTTTTATCCAAATTGTATTCTTTTGCGCCCTTTTCTTTTTTCTTCGTTTATCATTTACAAATTTGACAATGTATTCCATTCTGTGGCACTTGGCTCGATTCGTATCTTTGAGATACGCTTTGTATTTATATAGTATCTTGTGGTGCCACATCAGGCATACGAAATGCCATCCATACGAAATGAACTAATTCGAAATGTGTGTGACCGACTATTGATTTGCCCCCCCAATGGAGTAGAGTTTTTGGGAACCCGAAAACCATTTCCATCCGCTGAAACCCATCCCCAGGCCTGCTCCCAATCTCATTCTCATCCCAATTCCCATTCCCATTCCCTCTGCTAATGAGCGGCTTAGCCTCAGTCCATTCCGCTCGGCTGCTTTCCCATAAAGCCACCCACCACCACCACTGAGAAGGTCCTTTCTGCTCTCCATTCTCCAGCCTTCGGGCAGCCAAAAAGTAACCCCCAAAAAAGCAACACTCTTTCCACATCCACTTCCTTCTTTCCTGACTTACTTTCTGCAAACTAAACAAAATCCACTAATTAGTGCGCACGCTTCATCAAAAAATGAATTGTTTGTTGGAAATCATTTTTGGGCTCAGGCAGGAGCAGAGTGAGAATTGTGAGAAATAAGAAGGTAAAACAAGAAAATCAACATTATTATTATTATTATTATTATTATGTGTATATTACGTATACGCACTGTTGGCCACTTGATTATGGTCATGCCATTTCTTTGGTACATACATAAAAAAAACAACTTATTCGTCACACGAACATAAAAATACTAATGAAAAGCGCTTAGAAGCAGCAGGAATCGGGTATTCCCCCCCCCCAAGTCAAGTAATTAAATTGAAGGTTAATTTGTTTTGCTTTTTTTATGCTGCAAAGTCAGAGGGAGAGTCCACTCCTGCTTCTGGTCCTGTTCTTAGTCCTGTTTCTGCTTCTGCTCCTACTCCTGCTCCTTCTGCAGGCAATCAAAATAAGCGGCTTATTAGTAGTCGGGCAAGGCTTAGGGCTCCCAGGGCTTTAATGTTATTATAACCATGTATTTATGGCAGTGGTGAGTGAGTGTGGTGGCTAGTGTAACTAGGAGGGTATCGATTTAATTCCTGGACAGTCATAAATGAGCAGCAGCAGCAGCAGCGGCAGCAAAGATGGCGCCCAAAGGGTTGTGCACATTTCCATTGCCTACTTTGCAGGGCACGAGCATAAAAATTGCATTTTAATGACACTTTAATTGCTTATGCTAAAGGTAAACCCAACCCAATCAGAGTCGCGGCAGGTGTCTGCCATGCCCCCCTCCTGTCATGCATTATCTTTGTGGCACGTGGCACCCGCCACCGCCACCAGCGACACGCACCCTTAACCAAAGAGATAGAGACTGGAATGTGTTTATAATCTGATTATCCAGTCTCTTGCAATCCTTGTTGTTGTCATGCAACGATATATATTCAATATATTAACCACACCTGTGTCTCTCTTTCTCTCTTTCAAACTTTTCAGATACGGAACAATTATATCAACCAAGGCTATTTTAGATAAAACAACAAACAAATGTAAAGGTATTTTTTTCTTCACCATTCTCATCATTATTTTATTTATGTGTGTTTTTGTACAAGTATTATTAGTATGTGTTTATGTAAAAAATGAAAAAAAAGTTATCCAAAAAGAACGCAACAAAAAGAAAAGAATATAAACAATCAAAAACTGAAATTTCATTGATTTGTTTTGTATTATTTTCTTGATTTGTTTTGTTTACAAATGCTGAGTGCTCATTGGAATTTAATTTATGAATTCTTGTACTCAGCATTTGTTTAAATTAAAAACACTTGAGTTTGTTTAATAGAACTGATCACGACTTATTTATTGCTTGTTCATTATTGTGTACTTGTAGCTTATATTATATATTTTAAATATATCATAATGGTATATATTCTATATACATATCATTTTCGAAATTAAATATTGGCATTCTACCCAGTTTGCAATATGATTTCCTTCTACTTGCCCTGAGTTTTTTCCTCAGTTTGGTTTTCCTTCTCATTTCGCAATCGTGTCATTCATGCATTTCCACTATTTACTATTACAATTAAATTTATATATATATATATATATAAATATATATGTATATCTACTGCTATTGATGCACTCGATTAATGATAATTACCATTTCGATTATGAAAATATGTAAATATCTCCGGTAAATGAACGAGCTGTATAAATTGTGTATCTCCTGCTCTCTCTCTCTCTCTCTCTATCTCTTTCTATCGGTGTTTGTGTGCGTGTATTGATATAAATATAGTATTTTTTTCGAATATTTCTTGATATTATTTTAAGAGTTCTTTATGTTGGTGTTGTGTCAAATTAATTATTAATTTAATTTTCACCCATTTTTTCTTCTTCTCCCCACCTTTCTCTCTCTCTCTTTCTCTCTCTTTATATATTTTGTTTTTGTTCAATTACGATTTTTTTCGTTTTCGTTTTCGTTGCACGTGACCCAATGCGAAAATTACACTTTTATATATATATTGTTTTTTAATTCCTTCTCGATTGAATTTTCGATTTCAATTTTCGATTTGTGTGCCAAACAAAAATTGGACTATAAATAAACATTTCCACTCGCTCTTTGCCAATATATTTATATATATATATATTTATACATGCAATTAAAAATAAATAAAAATAAAATTCCAACACCGACCACCCGCAAACACACAAAAATACAAAACAAAAATTAAACAAAACAATGAAAAAATAAAAATAAAAACAAATAAAACAAAAAAACGAAAACAACGAAAAACAAAAACAAAATATGCTTTTTTGCAGGTTACGGCTTCGTCGACTTCGAGCAGCCAGCCTTCGCCGAGTGCGCCGTAAAAGGACTGCAGGGGAAGGGCGTGCAAGCTCAGATGGCCAAAGTGGGTATCTGGGTGCTTCATAGGCCGGCCATTGTACGTTTGTTTGCATGCAAGTAATACTCACCCCCCACACACCGCAGAAAGTGTCCCATCCTCCCTCCCTCCCCCAAAGAATAGAACCCAAACCATCCCTGTTTGTCCAAAACTTTTGTTTGAAATCCTTCAAGTCCTTTGATATTTATCCTTATTTTCCAAATCATTTTTTCGTCATTACGTTTTATATTGTACTGCCTAGAAGTTGCCTCTCTCTCTCTCTCTCTCTAGTCCAGATTATTATAAAAATAATATTATTATTTAAGTTTCGGTTCAGACTTTAATTTAGAGTTTTAGTTGGGAAATTGGATGAGTTTTTATAGGTTATTTTTGTTAGAGAGAATAGTGATTGCAAGACAAATATATTTACCAAACTATCATAAACCGATTTTCACAGTCTTTATAAAAGCCATCTTGAACTTTTTAAATTTATGATAAATTGAAAAGGAATTTACCAGAATTAAGTCCATTTATGAGATACTAAAAGCAAAGATAATTAGATCTATTAAATATAATATTTATTAACTTGGTACTTTCATGAGATTAAAGCTATCTTCTAAGTAAGATCATGGCTTTAATAAGATGCTTTAATCAACTATTTCCTATTACAAAGCTAAATAGAACACAGCTCCTAATGAATTTAGTTCTTCTTAATATCATTGTAAAGATTTTCCTATATAAATTTCAATATATCTCTACAAAAGTCGGTCTATGATATTGGTTTATTATTATGCATTTGTAAATCAGAACACAGCAAATTATCTATTTAACAAGAAAACATGTGGTAAACCCACATTAAAGTTCTCACACAGCGAATTGTGGTGAACCATATATAAATTATGCTTTCATTTGCATTATCTTTATTGGTTTATCTTCCCTTTGGATATCCCAGCCCCGAAAAAAACCCCAGATCCAACCCAAAACCCTAAAACCAATATAGTTCGTAGTGTTGTTCCAAAGACTCTCTTTGTATAACCGTTTGTCGTATACCAAAAGAAAACCCACACATACTATATATCTCGATATAACCGAATATAGACAGAAACAATTTGATAGTAAACCTGAAAACAAGTTACTTTTAGATTTATTTCCTTGTTTTATCATCTTCCGTTGCTTAGTGGTAGCCTAATTGATAGTATATATATTTTATAGTGTACATTTCCAATATTAATTGAGAATAAATTCATTTATTAATGACATTCTGTAGTTCATATTTATGAAGCTGGAATAAGTCATCAAATAAATAATCCCCTCTCTTTAATCTTCCTTTAGCAGTTGAATAAAGAATCCCCCAAAAATAATGGCATTAAGTGAGAACAATTAATGTTTGTTAGCGGATTTGTTTTGGTAAATTAATTGCATTAAGTGTACACTGTACAACAGGTATCTTTTGCAGTCTAGCGTAAAAGATTTTTAATAAGGTATTCTGATTATATTAATATATATAAATTTATATAGAATGCAGTAACTGATATGTAAATCCCATTAAATCATTATTAGCCTAGGCTTTACTCATCAAGGTAGACCTAAAGAGTGTATACAACAGTTCTTTATAATTTTCTTATATTTATATTATTATATTATTCCCTTGCGGGGTTTTATAATTTTATTTAGAAGACTGTAAATCAGTTAAGGAAACATTTCCGACCCTATAAACCATATATATTCTTGGTCAGAATCACCTTATTATTTAACTCAATCTTTATAGATAAAACATTTTAAAGAAACATTTTAGATCGAAGTATTTTCTGTATAAAACATACATTATGCTTATGTTTACTAGTTTAGTTCTCTCTGAAATAATGAATCCAGTTGAAAACTATTCAAATTTTAGCTCTCATATGTAATTTATGATTTTTCTAAGAGATTTTACCCGAAACTCAATTGTAGCTTAGCTCCTAAATGGGAAATCGGGCTTTAGATACTTAATTTAAGTAGACCTTAGCTAAAGTATTTATCGTTTTAAGTAGAGAAAGTCAAACATTATAGGTAACCCTCTCCATTTCCCTCATAGATTTAGTTCCGAGAGCGAGAAACATTGTAAACATTTCAAATCGTAATCAATAATTCGCCGCCATTTACAGCGGCTTACGAGTGCCGAGAGGCCGGATTGGGATGCTCCCCCGGGCATCAATATCAATTTCGGCCATTAATTTGTGCATATTAATAATTTGTAAACAAAACGAAAAGTTTTTCATCCGAAGAGCTTAGCGCCTCTGATATCATCCTCGCTCTCCTGTTGGCCTTTTCCCCCAACTTTATAATCCGATGGCATTAAATGCTCATTAAACACAAAAACATAGCAACAAAAATGGAAAGTTTGCTGTATAATAATAATAAAAAAATACACCCAGACCACATGTATTAGCGTAGGCATTAATGAATTGTAATCCATAGATTTGAACGACACAAACATACACATAAAATAGAAACCAGTACAAATAGAGTATCTATCTCTTCATATATGATAATATTCTACATATATATTGAATCTGTATAAACTGTATACTCGTATTTTGAAGTTATAGCCAGCCAAAAGTATATAATCAACCTCTACTACTACTTCAACCTACTACAAAGTTTGTTGTTTGAGTACGCAAATTGCTACAAACCTGTGCCGGCCAAAAATCAAACCAAAATATAAAAAGAAAAACCAAATACAATCTAAACTCTAAGTATAACAAGTCAAACAGATATCATTATAAAACCCTAAGACATTACTAACTGCTCAGGTATTTAACTTAGTTAAGCGATGATTAAGGGCGAAGGTAAAGACACTGAGGGTGGGCAAAATCAATCCAGTGAAGCGTTTAGGTCTCTAAGTTATTTTCCGATAAGTCTCAGGCATTACATAACATCCAAAAATACACACACTACACCCACACACCTACACACACACACACACACACTAAACACACACACACACACACTAAACACACATCTTCGTTCAGAGTTAGGCACACTAAATGCACACTAACACACTGACAACAGACAAACAGTCCAAAAAGAGTTTGACAACAGATACATTTTTTGGCAAGCAACTTGAATATTTACTAATGACAAAATCTCTACGTTCTTAATTTCTCTACTCCCCTCTCTCTCTCTCTAAAAACAAAACAAAAACAAAATTAAAAACACACTTTCCACACACATTTATCAACATGCATATGCTCACACACCAATTAAAAACAAACACACACACATGCTTACGCCAACTGCTTTTGTGTAACGTTAATTTGTGTGAAACCAAAACAAACAACAATCAACCAAAAAAAAATACATTTAAAAAAAACCCCCACAAATCAAACTAAACTGATTCAATTTCAACAACAACAACAACCACCAACAACCACCAACAATCAACAATCAACAACACCACACCACCCTGATCTGACCCAATTGCATACAACAACCACACAGCAACAGGAACAGGATCCCACAAATTTGTATATTGCAAATTTGCCGCCCCACTTCAAAGAAACTGATCTGGAGGCAATGCTATCGAAATACGGACAAGTTGTTTCGACCAGAATATTGCGTGATCAGCAAATGAACTCCAAGGGTAAGTGTTACAATATTGATAGCCAGATTGCCACAGAAATTCCCTCACTTGAACACTGAAAATTGAAATAATTACCAAACTTTTCAAGGTGGCAACCTGGTTATTTGTAAATCCCTTTTCAATAATCAAATACTAATTAATTTATACATTTCTTACCCCCTCTTAAAGGTGTTGGCTTTGCCCGCATGGAGAGTCGCGAAAAGTGTGAGCAAATCATTCAGATGTTTAATGGTAACACAATACCGGGTGCCAAAGATCCCCTGCTGGTTAAGTTCGCCGATGGTGGACCCAAAAAGAAGAATCTCTTCAAGACCCCCGATCCGAATGCGCGTGCGTGGCGCGATGTGTCAGCGGAGGGTATACCCGTGGCCTATGATCCCACCCTGCAGCAGAATGGAGTTAGCGTGAATGTTGGCACACCCATTGGTGTACCCTATTCCCGTTTCAGTGCCCCCCAGGTGGGTGGCTATCCAGTGACTGGCTCTCAATGGATACCCGGTTATATGATGACCCAACCGATCACTCAGGTAGATGATCAGGTGAGTAGTGGATGAGCATCCATTATGGGGTTTAATATGGCATTGGATTTGAATGAGAGATTCGAAAGATTTTATATACAAAGTGAATTGTGAAACTAACAAAAGAGAATGGAGTTCATCAAGTCCAATGTCATTGGGGTTTTTACCATGATCCTTGAATATATATTGATCTATTATCATCTCTATCCCCACAGTACATGCAAATGGCGGCTGCTCCACAATTGGGAGTTACCTCGTACAAACCAGAGGCGGTGAACCAGGTGCAGCCACGCGGCATCTCGATGATGGTCAGCGGCGATACGGGCGTGCCATATGGAACGATGATGCCCCAATTGGCCACTCTGCAGATTGGCAACTCTGTAAGCCATTGATCTATTATGAACCCGAAACTCTTTCTCTCGAGTTCCCCTTGCCAAGAGGCAGACATGCCTCCAAGTGGACATGTCTGCCTGAATCCTTGTGGATTGAAAAGAAAGAAAAAGAGTTGTCGTCAGCTTAACAACCTTGAAGATTCGCATGAATTGTGTGTGTTTCTTCTCGGTGTGGGTGTGCTGAGTGTGTAATATCTTGAAAAAGAAGTTGATTGATACTTAATTTCGTACTCTTTCTATTCCTTTCTTTTACTCCAATTATTTTCGATTGATTTCTCGGTTGGATTTACTTTTTGTGTGTTTGATTTTTTTTTTCTTTCGTTTCTTCGGTTTCTTTTATAGAACTTTTCTCCATCGTTACAGTATATTAGTCCAACTTACCCATATTATGCACCACCACCAACTATTATACCAACAATGCCAATGACAGATTCCGAACAGGCTAGCACAGCTGCATCACCCGACGAGGCATACACACAGTATCCACATCAAGCCGCTCCCAAATAGGTCTTCGCGAGGTGAGTGAAGTCTTCTCTCTGCCATCTGTGTCTCCACTGTCTCTCTGTCTCTGCCTCATCTCTCATCTCTGATCTCTGATCTCCATCTCGGTCTTGGTCTCTGTCTCTATCACTATCTCTCTGCTGCCACTGCATTCATCACTCTGTCCCCTGAATTCCTCTCCCTGTCCTTCATTTGTCACCCCAAAGTCATCTAAAAATGTTTCAATAATAATTGCGAAATTAAGAAGAACAGACTCGTGTCTCGAGTATCTTCAAATTTTTAATTAAATGCTTGAATCAAAAATGTAGCTTTATTTTTAGGAATCTGAATTTTTCTATAACTCGAACCAATTTTAAATATATATGATATTTCGATATTTTTATATGCAAATTTTTGGAAAAATAAAAGTATTTAAAATATAACTAAATCAAAAATAATACTATAATATCCTACAGAGTTATACTAGTAATACAAAAATTAATAAAACTACTATTTTGAAACACTGTTTCTCGGTTTCGAGTTATAGAAAATCCATCATTGTTTTTGTTGTCGTAGCACTACAGCTTTCCATCCAGTTTTTTGTGTTCACTAACACTATTTTGCATGTGCGCTCTTTGCTCTTAGAGCAACCCCAAAAGTCCCCCATTAAAACGAGCACTCACCCACCCCAAAAAAATTAATGTACCACCTCACTCGTCTCATTTCATTTGCTTTCACTCTGAGCTTTCCCCTTTAAATAAAACCCCACAAAGGCTTCATCGTTTCATCTACACTTTTAAACACAATGCCCAACACTAAGGATGTACATATATCTAAAGGATATAATAGAGAAATAAATGTCTCCTCAATATAATTGAAAATATTGAAATTTTAAGTATACCCAAAAATATAATTTAACGTTAAAATATAGATTTGATCAGTTCTAAAGTCAATAAATTAAAATAAAGAATTTATTTATTGCTTTTCCTAATAATATTGATCCAAAATAGGATATATCTCAACTCTCTTGTCAAATTTCGATCAGTATCTATAAATTAATATTATCTTACATCCCTTCCAAAAATGCATCCACAAAAAAAGAAAATACACTCACAAACACTGACCATTATCATCGGGGCTTCATGTGTTTTGTGTGCTCTGCTTGTTGTTGCTTGCCTGTTTGCTTCAGATCTGTTCATTCCATTAACATTATGTTTCTACGATCATCTCATTTCGATACTAAACATAAATTCTTATTTCTTTCTTCATTCACCTACTTTGCGGCTTGAAAACATGGTTGTTGCTTTAAATATTGTTTCATATAGTACAGTTATTAAGCAGCCTACTCACTGGTAACCCTTACTAGGTAAATATCATTCATTTTTCAATCATTTGCATGTGACCCTTGGGATTTTGGGGGAACTGGATAATAACCTGATAACCTATCTTCCTTTATCCTTGAAATAAATTAATCGTAAAAGAAAACATTTACTAATTCTGTATAATTCTTACAGCTATAATATATTAGTACCCCATTTGAGTACTATATAAATCGGACGAGAGTGAGAGCACGATGCCCGGTGGAAGCAGCAGAAAAGCCAAGGAGGAAAATGAAGCGGATCGAGAATTAATGAGGATAATGGAGTCAACAACATCAACAACAACAACCACCACATGAACAACAACAAACGACAACTGGAACAGCAACAACAAACAACAACTAGCAGAAACAACAGCAACATTCGGCAGGAGAATCCGGAATGCAGATGCAGTTCGCGAAAATTAAAATCTAGAGAAATGCAAACCCTAAAATTATAAAACAAAAGAAGCAGAAAATTATGTATAAATAAGAAAAGGAGGTTGGATATGAGAGATAAAGTTTAGAGGTTACACGAGCAAAAAAAAAGGTGAAGACGCCGCCGGTCTCGAAGTAGACGAGCGCTGAAGACGCAAGTAAAAAGTGAAGAAAAGCAAAGACTAAACTTAAATAATAGAGCATAGTTATACACACTAAATAAACAACAGAGAGTAGCCGCGAAAGCAGAAAAGCTAAAACAACAACAGCAGCAGCAGCAGGCAAAAAGGCAAAAGAAAGTGCAGTCGAAAATATTTACAAAAAGAGAACTGCAGGATGCGAGGAGAATTCGAGGAGAAGAAGCTTAAGTCAAACGCATGGAAGAAGGAGCACTCGAGAAACTTGAGGAAATCTGCCGAGAAAGAAAAACCATCGCAGATTAGAGTTAAGTTAATTTTGTTAAGCGAAAAGTTGAGGGAGAAGAAACAGTTGCATGGGGAAGCCGAGTTCAAGAAGTGATGTAAAAATAGAAGGAGAAGATTAAAACAAAAAAAAATGAAACTATTTTGCTAATTTTGAGCTAGCAGAAAAACAGAAAAAAATAATAACAAAAAACATAAATTATAAAAACCGTAAGCAGAGAGAAATATTTGTGAAATGAAAGAGAAGCAACCCAAAACAGAAACAGAAAACAAAAAATAAATGTGTGTGCAATGTATGTTAAAATCGTAAAACAAAAAACAGAGCAAATAAAAACGAAACAAAAGTCATTTCGACTCGATGATGATGATGATAATACATAAACCAAGCATAACTCTTAACTTCGGCAAAGAAATGCGTAAGAAAGCGAAACTTTTTTACCTTGGAGGCAGGAAGATTTTTTTATGCTGAAGATGAAACTCGGACTCAACCCTTTGTTTCTGTTCTGTTTGTCCTTAATTGTAATATTTATTTTATATTTTTTTGAACCGTGTTGAACAGCACAAAAAGAGTGGAAGAAAGCAGCAAGGAGCGTAGATAGCCACTAAAAAAGAAATTAAAGAAATGATAAAGGATGGTCTTTGGTTAGCTTTCTCCTTTTTGAACCGAAGAACATGCAAATTGTATAAAGCAAAGATCAGAGTCGAAAATATGAAAAATCCGATGAAGAGGAAAACCAATTTATGTTTTTTGACATTCATTTTGTGCTATCCAAGCAGTCAAAGGCAGTAAGAAGGAAGTAAATCTAAACAAATGAAAAGAAAAAAGCCTCTGAAACGGGCGAAAATAAACCTAGGTTAAGTCTTAGCAAAACAAAAAAAGTAAGAAAATTGCAGTAAGCAACAACAGATTTAGTAGTTCTAGAGATCTAAACAAAAAGATGAAATGAAGAAAACACAGAAGAAGAATAAGCAGAAGCTTAAAATGAATGTTGCATGAAGAGAGAATACAGAGAGAAAGAGGAGATGATGAAATCTTGTACTAGTTTTTAGCATATTTTTTGTGCTCATCAGTCGATTTAATGAATGAATTTTTGTAGCTGTCTACAGTTTTTTACGTTAACTGTTTTTTAGAAATATTAATGCAGAAAGTAAACACAAAAAAAATAAGAAAAAAAACAATAACAAAATGAACCTAGGTATAGTATATTTTTCTGCATAGGCGAAGAGTTGTTGACATCGCAGAAGAATTGTGAGGAATGTGGATGAAGGAATGGAGTTTGATTAGCAAGGAAATACAACCAAGAGGCAAACACTTTTTAAAAGGGAATAGAGAAGCAAATCGAAACAACACACAAACGTAGCGAAACACACAGAACAAGAAAATAAAATTTTGAAACTGTAGAATTGTAGTTTAGCTTTGTGATGCGGAAAAATGGTACGATTTTTTGAAAGGATCAGTAAGGACAACAACAGCAGCAGCAGCAACAACAACTGGCACAGGCAGTAGCAGAAATGTAAACAAAAAAACATGAAAATTAAGATTAAATTAAAAAAAAAAAAAAAAGAATTAAAACAAGATGAAGCAGAGAACTACGTTTAGTGAACTTAGTTAATAAGCGAAGATTTCTTTAGTCTTGTAAGCGTCTCTTAAGTAGAGTTTTCGTGAATGGAGCAAGGGAGTTTAGAATTGAAATTAAATCCTTTTTCAAAGCCTAGTACATATTTATTTTCCTGAAACACACACACAGACACACACACAGACACACACACTTACACACGGACACACCTATCAAGCCTAAGCATTGTATTTGTGATTTTTTCGAATGTGTTAACAACCAAAACGATGAGCAAATGAAGAGAAACAAGGGAAATATATGTGGGGTGGGCGTTAGAGAGGGAATTTTTTGAGAAGAATCTCCGTTTTGAGAGAAGGACATACCCTCACACTCACAGAAACACACAAACACTCACACACACACGGCAAACAACATTCCTGAGCAAAGTCTTTGATTTGATTTTGATATTTGTATGAGATGTGTTTACGATACGATATGATTTTCAAGTTTAGAGTTGTCGAGTCGCCTAACTGAACTATCTACTTATATATATATATACATTATATATACATATATATATATAAAAACGTAAGAAAAACACAACGCCAAAAGTCTTCCTAAGCCTAAAACCAAAACAACAACAAAATGCAAATGTTTTTCTATACTTTTTTTTGTTTTTTTCTTGTTACGATTATATTTGCTTTAGACTGACTACGAACTGAAACTGTAACAATAACAAACAACAAATGCAGGATTGTAAGACACATATATAGACTCTCCATCTCCTGAACTTGATGTGTATCGGAAAAATATATATATTTTGCCAAAAATAAACAACATTCCAAAAGCAAAACAAAAAGTGTAAGAAAAAATATAAACAAAGAACAGGAGAAGCGAAATTTTTGCAGAAATCAATCGAGCGATGCCTGCATTTGTTGTCCTTAAACAAGAAAGATCACAAATACAAGAAACCACTCATTGGGAGAATATTTTTGAAAGGACTTTCAATCTTGATATCCTGATACATCTACACACACACACCCACACACATACACCCAAACCCATACATATATCCTCGAACTCACACAAAGTGCAATTTTCTTTCTGTAGTTTTCAATGATTTTACTTTGTTAGCAGCAAGCAACTTAAGCAAATTGAGAGAAAAGCATTAAACACTAAGTTAATTTATAAAGCGTCGGAGCAGGAAATGTGTAGTAGAGGCAGGCGCACCCTAGGAAAGTGAAAATGAAATTTATGTTTTAGAGATGGAAATGAAATGCAGTCGTAGAAGGGACGAGAAGAAAATGAACCTAGTATATAAGATCAAAGTCTAGTGCGTAAGTTTAGCGAACCTAAGTACAGTGTTGAGAAGCAAAAAAGAACGCAAAAGAGGCGGGTTTTGAAGTACAGTGCCGCAGCGGGGAAGCGCGAATGGTAGCAAGAAAGACCGGAGACGAGTAGGACATATAATTTCTAGTTGGTAGTGAAAAAGAGAGACGAAAATAGTTGGTTAGTTGGAGTGCAACACACGTAGCAAGTTGTAGTTTTTGTGTAGTTAGAGCGTGAAGACGGCGACGAGCGCCTCTGTCCGACAGTGTTGGTCAACGTTTGGCGGCCAGCGGGTCGCACTGTTTGAGTTTAGGTTTAATTTTTGAAAATGATGAAACGATGTAAGCAAGGACGATGCTGGAGAGGGTAAACAATAAACAAAACAAACAAAAAAATTAAGAAAAGAAATCAACCGACGAGGAGTGTTCTTATCTAAAAGCTATACTGACTTTTTTGTGTGTGTATTTAAATCTACTTTGACAAGAAACCAAACTTGGAACTCGTTTGTTTTGCGTCTGTATTTTGTTTTAATTTAATGCGTTTTATTTTAGTTTTTTAACTAATTTTAAGTAGTTAATTTATTATTTGTCTTAAAATCGCAGAGACCCCATTCAAGATTCAAGATTGCTTGGGTTTCCCCCTGATTGAAGAACTCTCTCGCCTGAGGAGCGAATCGATTAAATTTGATGCAAGTGTTGAAGTAATTTTTAAAATGCAAACAAAAAAATGTCTAGTGCGTAAAATTGAAAACTAAAAACAAGAAAAACAATTTCAATAAAAACTAAAAACAAAAACAAATTCGAAATAATACCTTTCGTTTTGAGTGTGTGTGTTTTCCTTCGTTTCGTTTTGCATTTCAATTCGATGTGATTTCTTAGTCGTAGATTGTTCGCTATTTGAATTAACAGTCTAAGCTTACTCACACCCTACACCAACTAGTTTGCAGTAACAAATTCTTAAACTAATTAATTAATTATTGACTCTACTAAATTGAATTGTGTTTTAAACAGCAGGAGGCAAACTTAGTCGTCTTAGTCGTTGTTTAGGGGCGGGCAGAGAGCAGAGTGTGAGATGCGAGCGGGAGGAATAAATAAACATTTTTTAATTAAGCCAATTTAAGGAAATGATGAATATATATTTTTTTGAAACTTTTTTGACGAAACCAAGAATATAAACAAAGGAAACCAAAAAAACGAAAAACAAAATGAAACACATAAAAGTGAAAGCAAAATGCGGAGGAGCCAGTAGTAGGAATGAACGCTAGGCAAATCGACAGGATGGCGGAATGAAAAAAACAAGCTCATTAAATTTAAAAATAAATAAGAAAAATAAATGGAAACAGTTTGGTATGAAAAGTGAAAAGGAGGGAATGGAGGAGATGATGCCGAGGGGAAAGGAACAAAACACGACGACAAAGGCGTAAACTAACTTTAAGTAAGCGTAAAATGCAAGCAGCTAATTAAACTTAGAAACAGAAATACTTAAATGAGAGTAATGTACATTTCGCTTGTTGCTATTTTTAAGTTTTAAATCAAAGTCTTTTAAAGAACTTTATTCATTTTCTTATTAACAATGATAAAACCCAAAAAAACGAC